ACGACTACGACGACGACGACGACGACGACGACGACGACGACGACGACGACTACTATGGCGACTACAACGACGACGACGACGACGACGACGACGACGACGACTAATAATAATAATAATAATAATAGTAATAATAATAATAGTAATAATAATAATAAGACGCGGCAAGAGTGCCCCAAGAGGCCTCCAAGACGGTCCTTGAAGGCCCCAAATCGTCAAATGTTCAGTCCAAGACGCCACGGTAGCCTCCAGACGGCTCAAGAGGTGTTCAAGACGCCCCAAAGAGGCCTCCAAGAGCACTCCCAAGAGGGCCCCCTGGGCAAAAACCATAAATTTGCCTTCAGTTGTTGAAAGATGTTTGCGTTCTTGCCTTGTCGGCTTCCCAAGACAGCCCAAGAGGCCCCCAAGGTCGCCCAAGAGGCCTTCAAGCGGGCCCCAAAACGACCCAAAAGGGCCCCAAGACCGCCCAAGAGGCCTCCAAGACATCCCAAAAGGCCCCCAAGACGGCTCCAAGAGAGAACCCAGATGGGGGGCCCGAACGGACATCTCGAGCCCTCGGCCTAAAAGGCTCCCAGGAGGCCCCCAGATGCCCCCAAGAAGCCCGCCAAGAGGCCCCGAAAGGCCCCGAAGAGACCCCCAGGAAGCCCCAAAAGGCCCCCACGAGGTTCCCAAGAGGCCCCCAAGAGCCTCCCAGGAGGCCCCAAAACTACCCCCAAGATGCCCCCGAGAGGGCTCGTCGTCGTCGTCGTCGTCGCCGTCGCCGTCATCGTCGTCGTCGTCGTCGTCGTTCAGGGTCGGTTGCACCGGCCGTAAGGCCTCTCAAATATACATATATATAAAAGGAGAGAGAACTATACATATATATATATATATAGACACACGTACATATATATATATACACAGTCATTCATATATATATATATAAATATATACATATATATACATATATATATATATACTGCGTTAGCTGTGTCACGTTCCTGTTCGCCTCAGTGTTTTCTGAGCCCCTATCGGTCGTGTTCGAGAGGAGTCGCATTTGATCCGACGGGCCTCGTGCATGTGAGTGGCTTGACCTAGAGTTGCACGCACTCGCCCAGCAAATCGGTTGGGTAATCAAAACTCCGAATCGTGTTTGAATGTTCGGCCGCGGACCTTTGGCGAAGAAAAATCTGCTCCCATGGCTCGATCAGTCGCCCACGCCGTTTGCGAGACTTCGAGGTCAGTCGTTGGGGAGACTCTCTAGGCCTTTAGCATTGGAGTTGGCTGGTGGACTGAAGCTTCTCGTGACTATGGAGTTCCTGTTGAAATTATTCAGGCTGCAGTACCCCATCTCTTTCATCCGTTCGTTGGTCCACGCTATTCCCGCTTATCCTGCAGTTGTTCAGGCTCGAAGGTCCGTGAGATCACTGCATCACAACCAAAATCAAACAGAAATGGCCAAATCCAATGGAGAGCGTGGTCAGCAGCAATCTCGCGGATACGGTGCTTGGCCGCCGATTTGGCAGCCGAAGCCGAACGACCGCGAGTGGCAAGAAGAAGAAGCATCGTTCGAAGAACTCGAGCAGTGCAGATACGGAAGACCAGGTTAAAGTCGCCGAGAAATTTCTCTTGAAGCACAGCAGGCGCTACAAGAAGGTTGTAGAGTCCGAGGAGCAGACTGCACGCACCAAGGAGTACGAGCGGCAGGGCGAGATCATCGCCGACGCGATCGCCCCGCAGCTGTCCTCGGCAATCGCCGCCAACGCGATGCAGGCCGGCACCTCCGCGGCCGCGAGGAGCGCCGCCGCGGCGCCCGCAGCGGCGGCCCCGCCAGGTGGGCCGCATCCTTTCCCGCCGCAGCCGCCGTCTGTGGCGGAGCCGTCTGCCACGCTGACGGCCTCCCAGCGTGCCTACATCGCCGCGGAGTGCGGCCACGTTTTCAAGATTGGGAATGGCACGATTGAGGAGCTCAAGGAGAAGATCCACGAGAAGTGCATCATCAAGGACGTGGGCCAGGGCGGCGCGCCCCGAGGCCCAAGGAGAAGAGGATCGACACTCTTTTCGAGGTCGTCAAGGACATGGCCTGAATCGTCCTCGCCCCAATCGGGTACACCGTGCGCAGCGTCATTTTCATCGTGACGGTGCTCTACTTTGTGGTTGCTCTTAGCATTGCTTCTATCTGGGGTATCGCTACTGGCAGTGGGTTGCCAAGTGGGAACTGTACATCACGGTACGCGATTTTGTTAGCAATACGGTTGGCACCATGCTGGTTTCTTATTTCACTGGAGGGGCAGTGCCCGTAGGAGCTGCGAGCACGGCAGCAGTCAAGAACTTGGCCGCATCGTGGGTCGAAGCATCAGGTGGCCGCATGTTGCAGGCCATAGGATACGGAACATGAGCTGTTCTGACACTCGGGCGCGTGTGAGCGGAGAGTCTTCTCTCCAGATGAGTGCTGCCCTCGGTCGTTTGCCGCTCCCTGGAGGGCCATCAACTCTATAATGTCCCTTGTGCTCAAGGGCCTGCCTCCACGGGCACAGATGCTCAACCGTGAGTTCGGTCTCGCGTGAGCAATGCAACTCACTGCAAACTGAAGCTCGGCTGTGCGCAGTGGAAAAAGCGACCAGAAATCCTCATCATGATCATCATCATCATCATCATCATCATCAGCATCATCATCATCATCATCATCATCATCATCATCATCATCATCATCATCATCATCATCATCATCATCATCATCATCATCATCATCATCATCATCATCATCATCATCATCATCATCAGCATCATCATCATCATCATCATCATCATCATCATCATCATCATCATCATCATCATCATCGCATCATCCTCATCATCAGCATCATCATCATCATCACCACCACCTTCATCATCATCATCATCATCATCAGCATCATCATCATCATCATCATCATCATCATCATCATCATCGTCATCATCATCATCATCATCATCATCATCATCATCCTTATCCTTATCCTCATCCTCATCCTCATCCTCATCCTCCTCCTCCTCCTCCTCCTCCTCCTCCTCCTGCTCCTCCTCATGTGCCTCCTCCTCCTACTCCTCCTCAGCAGCAGCATCATCATCAGAATCAGCATCATCATCAGCAGCATCATCATATTTGCTCACCCTAGAAACGCCCTGGGCATGTTTCGTGTTTTACCGACTGTTTTTAGGTCTCTTGACAAGCTAACGACGCTATATATATATATATATATATATATACATATATATGGTCCAGGGTTTGGGCCCCCCCCCCAATGCTGATGCCATTGGCCCCCCCCCCCCCCGCGCGATGGTCCCCCCCGCCCCCCCCTGTGGGCGTGGCGTGGTGCTGCGCTGCGGTTCCCCCCCCCCCCCCTGTGGATGTGGTGTGGTGCTGTGGTGGTTCAGAGGTGGGCGTGGCGTGGTGTTGCACTGCGGTGCCCCCCTCCCCCCCCCTGTGGATGTGGTGTGGTGCTGTGGTGGTTCAGAGGTCGTCGTCGTCGTCGTCGTCGTCTCGTCGTCCTCGTCGTCCTCGTCGTCCTCGTCGTCGTCGTCGTCGTCATCGTCGTCGTCGTCATCGTCGTCGTCGTCGTCATCGTCGTCGTCGCCGTCGTCATCGTCGTCATCGTCGTCGTCGCCGCCGCCGCCGGCGTCGTCGCCGCCGCAGCCGTCGTTGTCGTCGTCGTGGTCGTCGTCGTCGTCGTCGTCGCCGTCGTCGCCGTCGTCGCCGTCGTCGCCGCCGTCGTCGTCGTCGTCGTCGTCGTCGTCGTCGTCGTCGTCGTCGTCGTCGTCGTCGTCGTCGTCGTCGTCGTCGTCGTCGTCGTCGTCGTCGTCGTCGTCGTCGTCTCTGGGACCATACCATCTGGGGGGGGGGCCCGAGGAATCCTGGGACCATACCATCTGGGGGGGGGGGCCCGTGGGCCCTCGACCCTGGATCATATATACACACGCTATGTGTGGTTCGGGACTTCTGTTGTTTTCGCGTTTTCAGGCCCGTCGCTGCGAATCTGCATTTTTCGGCGTTCGGGTTGCGTTCTTGTCGAAGGCTGCTCCTTGGTCTTCCCTCTCGCTCCGCACGCAGAGCTAAAAAAGAAAAAAACACGGCCAAAAAACCGGTCGAATACCCGCGAGACAGGCACGGAGGCCCCGCGACCAGCCAGCAGCGACGACCCGAGAAGACCAGAAGGACAACACAATAGCAATAATTCTTTTGGGGGGGCTCGACGCAAGGAGAAGGAACTGAGGATGTCATAAGCGGGAACGCAAAACAACGTTATCAACTGATCCGAAAACGCTGGAAATCAAAAAGCTGAACGTGCATGATGTCCAAGAGGCCGAGATAAAATCAGTTTTAGAACAAAAAACGCCCGTGGTGTGTTCACGGCGAACGAAGATACTCCTCCTCCTCCTCGCCCTCCTCTTCATCATCATCAGCATCATCATCATCACCATCATCATCCTCATCATCATCATCATCCTCATCATCATCATCATCATCATCATCATCATCATCATCATCATCATCATCATCATCATCATCATCATCATCATCATCATTATCATCAGCATCATCACCATCATACTCATCCGTCACCTCACCTTCCTCCCCGAACCCCGCCCCCCGCCCCCGCCACTCCTCCTCCGCATACTCATGCTACGTTTCCTCCGCCAGACACCCGACCCCCCCTCCTCATCCTCCTTCCCGCCCCCCCCTCCCTCTTCCCTCCTCTTGTTTCTCCCAGTCATTCTCCCCCTCCGACATCCCTCTCCCTTCACACACTCTTGGCCTCCCTCCATACTCCCATCCACCCATCTATCGCGCCTCCGTCGTCTTCCCCCTCCTCCCCCGAAGTAGTAAATGTTGAAGCTCGGCGGTCATACCAGCCTAGCGTTCTACGACATCCTGCACCTATAGGACTTAGCCATACGCCTAAACGTACCTGAAATAGGGACAACATACTGTGGGGAGTCACACTTCAGCGACTGATCATGTGTGGAATCGCAGTGTCCATCGCCCCTCCTGAGGGTTCGCTTCGAGATCGTGATGTGCTCAAAGATGCACTCGATCTTCTTCACGGCCACTCTCTCGCACGCGTCCCTGTCCTGCGCTTGGTAATCAGAGGGCCATGGGCTGGGAGGGATCAGAAGATGCCCGCTCGCGCACTGTGCTCCCCTGTTCCAGGAGAGGGGGGCAGGGAAAACGAGAGGCCACGCAGGAGGAACGACGGGGCGCGCGGGGGTGGTGAGGTCGAACGGGGGAAGCAGCAAACCAGGCGGCATGAACAGGACGGGATTGCCAGACCATGTGCGCGAGAGGGAGGGGGGCAGGGCAGGGGAAGACGGATGGAGGAGCACGGGCAGGAGGTAGAGGGGGATGGAGGAGGACGAAAAGAGGAGGAAGAGGAAAGAGGAGGAGGGAGAAAGAGGAGAAAGAGGAAAGAGGAGGAAGGAGGGAGGAAGGACGAGAAGGAGAAGCAACAGCAGGATGAGACAGAGGAGTGAGAGGGGGATGGAGGAGCGGCACAGTGAGGGCGACGCACTTTCCGCCGACTGGGCAGATGCGGAAATCGCAGACAGAAGGCCCTCGGGCATGAACGAAGGCGACCATGTGAGAAGGGGGATGAGAAGACGGAGGACGAGGTGGAGGAAGACAGGAAGAGCGGGAGGAGAGGGAAGCGGTAGAGGAAGATGATCCGACGCCGTCGCACGTCCGCCCCCAATAATTTCCTCATCCTCCGTATCCTCGTCTTCCGCTGCCTCATGCCCTCCACTCTCCTCCTTCACACAGTCCTCCCCTTCCTTCTCATCATCCTTCATCCCGTCCTCCTACGCCCGCCCACCCTCCTCCGACTCCCACTCCTCCTAGTCACCGCCCACCCCTCATCCGTAGGATCTCCCTTGCGCGTCGCAATAGCCCGACATGCTGGTAAAGCGATCCAGGCGTGGCGCCGGAGACTTCGCTGCCACAGATGACCACTGAAGCTCGGACCATCAGCTCACCGATAGAAAGCGGCTGGTATTCAAAGTGTGGCCATCGCCTTAGCATTGGGCACATTCGCCTTACATTCGGCGGCGGGCGAGGGGAAAAAGGAAGAAGGAGAAGGCCTTCTCGGAGGGCTCGCAAGTCCCCCAGCCTTCTTAGAACTGATATAAGCAGTCCCCGAAGACACAAAAAAAACTCTCAGAAGGCCCGAGGGCTTGTGAGAAATCCCGCCGCCTAGAGAAGGCATTCTCCTTCTCATTTCCCCCCCGGGCGCGCCGCCGAATCAGTTCACCGATAGAAAGCGGCTGATATTCAAAGTGTGGCCATCGCCTCAGCTTTGGACGCATTCCCCTTAAACGTTGAACCAACTGAGCGGCTGGAGGCTGACTTTCGAAATGAGCCTGTCGCCTTCGAGCCATGCACACCCGTCTTCAAAGCATCTAGCCGTTGCGCACGTGTAGGGAGGCCATTTGCAACACGCGGTTCTCGCCACGGCGCCACGCAGTTTCATGATAAAAGCCTCCAACCGCCACACGCATGGAAGACGGTTGGTTTTCAAATGCGGCTCTCGCCCTAGCACCGCGCTCACTCGCTGTAAAGAGGCTCCGATACTTGCACGGTGGAGGGCTCGTCTCCTTCTGTGGATCTCGCCTTCGCGCCGCGCCCAATAGTTAAACGGCGACAGGACAGTGGAGAGCGGCGCCCTTTTTCCCAAGCGTGCCTGTCGCCCGGGCACCGCACACGGCTCTTGCTTGAAACGTCCTGACACAACATGACCGCAAGCAACGCAAAACTCTTGCGCGGATGGAAGGCGGTCCCTCTTCAGAGCGGGGGGGCTCTCGTTGGACCGTCCTCGGACGGTAAATTCCTGCCTCTGTGCACATCTTGGGTACTCAAAAGGATGGAGACAAAGGACCCTTTGCAAGAAGGAGCTCTCGCCTGAATGGCCTGCCTGTGGGGGGGGGGGGGGGCTGATCTTTCACAGCGACGCTTCCCGCAGCGAGAAAGCATGAGGGTAGCGAGTCGTGAGGAGGGTACTAAGGACGGGAGAATGTATTGCAGCATCATTGTTGCATTCTGGGTATACTCTTCACCACCCGGCTCCTCTTCGTCATCGTCACCATCATTCCTCCTCCCTCCCTTTTTCCCTCCGGCCCTTCCGCCCTGACAGCCTCATCTACAAAAGCGTGAATCGGCGGAAATGGTGCGCAACTGTGGTGGCCAACATCGTCCGCTGCAGGGTGTACATCTTCTGCTACAGTGCAGAGATTCCGTTCGGCGACACCGGTTGTGAGAAGGTGCAGACAAGCAGGACTCTGGCATCGTCGGCTAAACACGCTGGGATCGGCGACACTTTGAGAAGAGCAACGTGCGCCAGCTCACCTCCGAGAATCCCACCAGCCCTTTGGGCGACAGGTGGTCTGACGAGATTCCTCTTCCCTCTTCCAAACAAAAACCCTCTTCCCCTTCGGGGAGGAGTTTACCCCTCCCCCTAATCCTCCCCTGGACTTTTTGGGGGGGACCTGCGAGGTGTCAGGGCGTCCAAAACGGCCTCGGCGAGGAAGCCCAAATCGTTAGATTTACTGAGAGTTTGGCCACATGTTGGCCTCTTTGGGGGGGGGTGGAGGGGGGGGGGGGGGCGCGAACGTTACCCCATCAGCCCTCTGGGCGCCAAAACCATTGGTTTTACGAAAGTGTTGGCCCCATTGGGGCCTCTTTGGGGGGGGGCTGAACGTTATCCCACCAGCCCTCTGGGCGCCAAAATCATTGGTTTTACTAAGGTGTTGGCCACATGTTGGCCTCTTTGGAGGGGGGGGGCTGAACGTTATACCATCTCCTCCTTTGATCGATGACGGCTCGCAGTTTGGGCCAGAGCGGCTTGAGCCAGAGGCTACGGACTGCTGGTGGGGATACCATTTGGTCTGCGGGCTCGCGAAGCAAGTCGAAAACCGTCCGATCACTAGCCGGGCCGCGACTAGGCAGCAAGAAAAGAGAGGGGCAAGCGAAGCGAGCGCGCGGGCAGCCACTCAGAAGGAGCACCAGGAGCGGCACTCCCAACCCAGTGGCGTGGAAATCCCGGTGGCAACCATCAAGTAGGCGCACCCAAAATGGCGCGGCGGCGCGACCATGAACACGCAGAGGTCGATCACCCGGTGTGAGCATAGGGCCCGACAAACACGAGCAGGTCCGACAAACTGGTGGGGATACTTTTTTTTACAGCCGCAGGCGGAAGCGCCAGCGGCGGAAGGTCGCGAACGGGCCGCGGACGCGACTAAATTACCTAACGCGCGCAGGGCCGCGGATCAGGCGGCTCACGACAGCGTCCAGGGGGCCGAAGCCGATGCAATCCAGGTGCCATGACAGCCCCTGAACGGTCATGCAGGTGCGTCCAACAGGCCTGAGGTAGGCACCGAGACCACTTAGCGCAGCCAAAATGGCGCGATAACGTTCCAACGTCCAGGTGCGGACAAGGGAACGACCCGAGGACGTCAGCCCCAGCCTGCCGGGTAGCACAGACGACGAGGTGGTAAGTCCAACGAGGATCCCGACGGCGGCAGCGAGCCGCGGCGCCAGAACGACATCAAGGTGTATCCATGTTCCGAGAAGACTACCACACCGAGATGTTTCGGCCCAGACCCAGCGGGTGGAAGGGCACCTGATGCACGCTACCCGTCGAAACGCGGCGCGCGCACACCACAGTGTCACAGTGCAGTCCAAAGGGGCGGAGAGCACAGGCGGAACGAGACCGTGTATACCCAGGCAAGTCCCACAAAGCCACTGATCCAGGGTCGCGGTAGGAAGCCGTCCAGCAATGGGAGTCCAGAGGGCACCGATCCATGGAGCCTGAAGGGTACCACAGGCTGACTGGGAACAAGAACCAACGGAAAAAGCTGACGGCGAGCCAGTCGCAACGCAAGAAGCGCATCCAGGGCGTGGAGCATGAAGACAAGACAAAACATCCACAACTGAGATGCGACAGCCCAGATCCGACGAGTGGAAGGGCGTAGAAGAGCACGATACACGGCAGACCTCGAGGAGCATGCACATCTAAGGTGGCCCAGCGATACCCAACCGAGTCGTCTAGCACAGAGGGACGAGGACGCCTTGTACCCGAGACGTGTCCCTCAGAGCCAATGGATCTAGGGTGACGGCAGAAGGTCGTGCTTATTGTTTGAAAGGTCCAGGGCGACGGCGGAAGGCCGATCGTTCGGTTAGAAAGTCCAGGGGGAAGCCAGTGAACAGGCGAGCCGTGGCCCACTGACAGGCCAGGAAGGGCTGGCGGTGAGACAACTACAGTAGGGCCTGTGGCCGCGAGTCCACTGCGGAGAAGCGGTGGACGGTATTGCCGAAGCGCGCACCTGGATCCAAAGGCAGGAGGTGCGCGCATCGGGTGGAGGGCGGCAGAGCGCCGCGATTAGGGGCCCGCGGCGCGGCCTGGGCAGCGTCCGCTGGGATTCAGGAGTGAAACAAGGCGGGGAGAGAGGAGCCGAGTGACGAGAGGGTGTCGGCCACCGGTGGAGAAAGGCAGTGATGCCAGTGGCAAGTGGTCTGCAGGATGCGCGGTGTCACGCACGGAGCAGACGGCATTACCGAACGGCACCCCAAGGCCAAGGGTGAGAGAGGGTGCCGCTCAGGGGAGGGGAGGCAGAGTTGCCCCAGGTTGAGGGAAAGGGCGGCAGAGGGCCGCGGTGGCGCGTTGTGAAGCGCAGGTGGTGGCGCGGGCACTGGGGGGCGGTGAGGGCAGAGAGGGAGTTCAGTCTCTCCAGCGGAGTCTCCTTTCCTCTCGATCATCCCGATCGTCAGGGTAACCTCCGCCGCGCTTGCCACCCGCCTGCCAGTGGTCCCCACGCCATCCGTCGCGCCACTCGCCGTGCCAACTGCTCCAGGTGTCCCAGGAACTTGTCGCACGGTCGCGCCAGCCCGTGTGGCGATAGCCGCCCTTGCTCCAGTCGTCTGTCTGGGAGTGACGCAGGTAGTTGGCTCGTGTCTTGTTCCAGTCGATATCATAGCCAAGCCTCCTGTTCATCTCGTAGGCGTCGTACCCGCAGTCCTTCCAGGCCTCTAGGAAGTTGATAATATCCGAGGGCATGTGTAGTTTCGGGTCGGACTTGGGC